CTTAGAGCCTCTCTCATACCCAAGATGTTTCCAAGGTCACTTATTTTCCTTTTACCTTTGTTTAATTCTCAGGAGAAATTGAACTAGTCAGCAAGTATGAGTGAATTCAGGTGAACCAAGTGAACTTGAGGTGGGGCATCAGTGGCATCAGCCATACCATCTGCCACCCTTTCTCAGGATGCCCTGGCAAACTTGCTCCAGCCAAGTTAATCAAGAAACGGGGATACGTAAAATTCAGGGGAAAGAGGGTTTAACGCAATAGCCATGCAGGGAACCTAGAGTGCAAACCATCCAGATTAGTGTTGAAGAACGGCGATTTCCAGGAAGGACTTCTTGTTAAAGGAAAAAAAATAAAAGAAAGAAAGAGAAAAATTATTTGGAACATTTGCCTGTGTAAGAAATAGCATTAAGCTGCCTCAGAAACTTTTTGAAAAATTGGGAAAAGCTAGTAAGCAATAAGTACATAGAAAACTAAACACATGATGAAGTGAAGCAGTAATTATCTCTAGAGGGAAGAAAAAGATTATTCAGGAGAAGAAACGTAATCAGAAAATACCATTTGTCTCAATAATGAACAGTAGTCATACAACGGTGATAAAACTATATCGGAGCACTGGGTAAGGAGAATGAGAACTGAGTGACCATGGTATAGTAAAAATAGTCTCCATATCCTATAGTAGGAAATCAAGTGAATAATATCGGACATTTAAAATTAAGAAATAGTTGTAAATGTATTATTTGGAAACATGGAGATAAATTAACAGATGATATAGTTGAAATTGTTGAAAATGATTGCCTCTGGGGGACAGGACTGAGGAGATGCAAGAGAAAGAACAAGAATAAGTTATTTCTTGTTATATGCCTTGTGTTCTGTTATATAATTCAAATTCTGTCTTATTACTTTAACAGAATATTAAAATTTTGTTTAAAAACAGAAGAAAGCATTGTCTTCACATATACATTTAAGACATTCACACGGAAAACTCACGCAGACAACATCTCTGGGCAATAAAAGTGGGAAATAACAACAAAAAAGACAGTGCCCATTCCCTTTGGAAATAAAGCAAGCAAATAGCGTGAAACACTCATCTAAGTAAACCTTGAGATAAGAAGAAAACAGAACAAAAATTATAGATTCTTTAAAGACAAATAGCAGTGACAAAAATACATATCAAAATCTAACGGATGTGGCTAAAATAGCAGTAAGAGGAAATGTTATAGCCTTTTGTGAATTTGTTTAAAAGCAAATCCTTAGAACTTTAGAAATAAATGAATAATACAGTAAGTCTAAATAAAGTAGCAAAAAGAAATAATCCATTAGAAAACAAACAAACGGCAAAGTCTTGATCATGAAATCAAAAGTCGTGACAAGACAAAACAAACAAAAAACTAGACAAACATTTGGGAAGCCTAATTAATATAAACAGATATGACATTCAGGGGGGTTGACTCTCCAAAAACCATTCCACCTCCAAATGATTAAGCTAAAGTAAGTTATTCCCTTTGCTAGTGATTGATTTAGGAATGGGCATGTGACCTGGGCCTGACCAATAATGATGTGATGGGAAGATTGCTGGAGAAACATTTTCTCACTCTTAAGAAAGAGACACATAGAAGAGGTGGTTAGCCCTTTTCTTTGTCTAGATCTTTGGAAATGATGCCTGGAACAGCTGTAATCGTCATGCTGCTAGGCCAAGGGCAGTGCGTGGAAGATTACAGGACAGCACACCCAGAGTAAGGTACACAGGAGACACACTGTCTCTGAGCTTTCTGTTGTGTAAGATAATACATTTCCCTATCCTTTAAGCCAAATTGAATCTGATTTCCTGTTATTTCCAGCTGAAGTCATCTAACAAAAGAAAGCAAGCCCAAAAGCTAGGTATGAGAGAGAGAATATAAATGCAGACACATAGTAATAGTTGCTCAGTCGTGTCTGACTCCTTTGTGACCCCATGGACTGTAGCCTGCCAGGCTCCTCTGTCCATGGGATTTTCCAGGCAAGAATACTGGAGTGGGTTGCCATTCCCTCCTCCAGGGGATCTTCCCTCCCCAGGAATCGAACCTCGGTCCCCTGCATTGCAGGCAGATTCTTTACTGTCTGAGCCACCAGGAAAGCCTACAGATACATAGATTATTACCAAAAGATAAAAAAAGATAGAGTGTACAGCTGCATATCAATAAACTGGATGGTTTCTAGGAAAGTGACATTCTTTCAAAATTGACACCAGTGAGATAGAAAAGCCTTATCAAACCAGTAATGACAGGGGAGAAAAACTTTGTCAAAGATCGATCCTAAAAAAAGTATCAAGCCCATAGGATACGTGTTAATACTGAGCTATTTTTGGTTGTGCTGGATCTTCATTGCTGTACATGGGCTTTCTCTAGCTGGGGCGAGCAGGCGCCACTCTCTAGTGGTGTTCAGGCTTCTTACTGAAGCGGCGTCTCTGTTGCAAAGTGCAAGCTCTTGGTGAGTGCGCTTCAGTAGTTGTGGGCCATGGGCTCAGTCGCTCTGCAGCATGTGGGATCTTCCCAGACCAGGGATCAAACCAGTGTCCTTTGAATTGCAAGTCAGATTCTTATCTATTAGATCGCCTGGGAAGTCTTCCCACCCCCGCCAGGATATTACAGGAGACTTCTATCAAGTCTAAATTAACTGATATAAAAGGAAGTTGAAGGATCCTAGAAACATAAAAAGCAGGGCAGATTCAGGCATGTAGGAAGTTAGTCTAATCTGGGCAGTGCCATTGGGATGAATGAACTTCATTCGTTTTCAGTCACAGCGTCACTTTGCTCAAAGGCACGTGGTATAGGCATTCTCATAGACTAATGGTGGCAATATTTCTATGAATCTTCTTGGTAATGTGAATTGAGCCATAAAAAATATTTGTACTGTTTTTAATCTAGTAATTTCTCATCCATGCCAATTAAATACCCAGAAAGAGGGGGGAAAAATCTATAAAACATATATATTGCAGCACTATTTTAAGAGAAAAAAGTTGTAATGAAGCTTTTTCTGTTTAAATGTAAGACAGAATATTAAAAGATTAAAGTATTTTTGAAAACTAATTAATCTTGTGAGAAACTAACTCCATGGTAACTTTTAAAGTATGAATTTGTTAACTAATAAACTAGCACCTGCATGTGTTGATTACTTGCAGATTTGTAATAAATGTATGTGTGTATAAGTATGCATATAAAATGGATGATTTTTCTTTATTCTGTGTGTGTACATACGTGCATGTGTGTGTACACAAGAGTTGTTCAAATCTGTTTCTCCTATCTATACAGGAGAAAAAAAGTCATTCAACTCAAAGAGAAAATGTGAAACTCAAAAAAAAATAAAGTAAATTCCAGGGAAACAGCTCCTGATTGAGCCAGCTTGGGGTACATGTTCTCCTCTGGAACTACAGATGAGGTCAGCCCACCTACCTGCATGGAATGAGAGGGGGAATAGAGCTATTTAGTCAAAGGGAAGTCGGGCTCTGTTACTATTAACAGAATCAGGGAAAATCAATGCTGAGTAAGAAAATAGTCCATTATAATCAGATTGGAAAAGTTAAAAATACTCAGCATTGACAAAGGGGTCAGGAACTGGGTACCCTAATATACTTTGGGAGGATATGTAGACTGCTTTTTTTAAAGACGAGAGTATCCTTTGAGCCAATGATTCTACTTCTAGGAATTTATCCTGAAGAAATACTCACATATGTAGTCAAAAACATCATTCAAGTATGTTGTTCACCACAGTATTGCAAATAACCATGAAAAATTGTTAATATTTAAGATATTAGTTAAATAAAATATAGCATAGCATTTGTGCTATGGAATACTATATAATCCTTAAAAAGAAAATACTTCCATGGAAGAGCTCCATAATATACTATTAATAAAAATAAACTGCATAAGTATAAAAATCCAGAAATATACTCCAAAATTCAACAGTAGTTACCCACGGAAAAGGAAACAGGATTAGGGGGTAAGAACAAAATGGAACTCTCACTTTTCCTCTCTATATTTCAGTATTATTTGAGTTTTCATGCTCACAATGAGCATGAGTTTTTGCCTATGTGTATTTGTAAATAGGCAAAAATACAATGTGATTGAATTTTAAAAACCCATATGCTTATACATATTATTATAGACAGAAACATGGATTGAAATTTTTTAAACATTAGCATTGATTGTTTCTATTTTGTGATTTTATAGGTGATCTTAATTATCTTTTGTAGTTACCTGTATTTTATTTTAAAAATTAGCATAGTAAAATAATTTACATATAAATAAAATAAATTGCTAATATGTAATGTATAAATAGAGGGACATACATTGTTATTGTAAAAAGGGCTTGAGTATGTGAACAAGAAAACCACAACAGAAGAACTATGAACGGCTAATACTCTTAAACACTCTTATTCTAAAGGCACATATTTTGGCATAAAATAAGCCCTCAATACCCCAATAATTGCAATTACTATTCCTTATTGTATAGCAATACATGAACATGAAACCTCATGAAAACTACTCAATAAAGGAAGCTGCTAAATTCTGAATGCAAAAATGTTGCACAATGTTCCTGTTAGAGTCCCAGGAAAATGAGGCTTCTCTAAGGACATCTCCAGAGGAAGCTGTCAGTCATGTTTCTAACCTCCCGGAACCTTCTCTGAGAGGTTCACATCCTTCTGATAACTCTAATAGGGAAAGAGCAGGGCAGAAAGAGTCAACAAATCTCCGTTCAGGACTCCTCTGAAGTTTGGCTTCCTGAGAACCGGTGTTTATTTGCCATGGGAGGAAGAGAAAGAAGACATGGAAACAAGAACACAAAGTCATTGAAAGAAGGGTGTATGGTTTTAAGATGAGGGATACTTGTCCAACACTCCAAACATTTTCTTTGCCCAACCTCCTGCCCATTACTACCTTCCCAACATTCTTATCATTGAAAAGAAACAGACCCCAGATCAGTCCATATTCTAATTGGTTCAGTGATTAAAAGATGAGGGGGCTGTTGTTTGTGTAGTATTTTATTATAAAAGTAATATATGGTCTGTACAGAAGAATTAACAAAGCAAATGAAAAGCACCAATAATTCCATCCCCAGAAACAATCACTTTTAATATATTGGCATATGTTAGTCTATTTCAAGATTTCTGAAATCATCCATGTTTATCTAATTTTTCTCATATAACCTGTAACGTATTTCCATGTTGCTGCAATCTCTTAATGAAAGTAACTTACACTGGCTGTGTGAATGTATAATAGAAGAGTCCTGATGATGAGAAGTGCTGAGGCAAGGAATAAGTCAGCGGTCAGTTATCTGAGGCTGTGTCATCTGTGAATGTCAGAACAGGGAGCTTCAGGACTCAGAGGAGCTAACTCCGGAAAAGTCATTCTCTTTCTTTAGAACTGCAGTATCTTCTTCTCCTCCCTAAGAGGAGTTCAGGCCAGAAGACACCAGATCCTGGCCTCTCCGATTCACCCCCCAAGTCCCAGGCAAGACCACGAAAACTAAAGGTGTTTCTGGTAATCAGACTCTGTGTCTTCCTCTGCAATGTCCGGGTGCGAGAGGAGTGAATAGGTGACTGTATTCTCAGCCTAGAGAAAGCAGAAAGGAGCAGTGAGGATCCACCGAGAGGTCACAGGAAGGAAGGCCACAGAAGTGGCAGCAGGGGTGAAGGAGGAGGGAGAAGGAAAAGCAGGCAGCTGGATGGCTCACCTCAGTTCTGGCAGCATCAGCTTCAGCATCATTGAGACCGGCTATGGGCAAAAAGAACAGAGATGAGCAGGCGCACTGCTATAGCATGGGGCCTATCCACACTGCTGCGGAGGCCCAGACCGGGCTTGAGGTGAGGACCACTGACCCCAACTCAGCCCTGCAGGCCGAAAACTTCATTCCCAATCCACCCTCAGTATCCCAGACATGGCGCCGCCACCAGCTACAGTAGCAAAGGGAGACAGTCATCTGTACTACACCCTTTTCAGAAAAGCACTGTTTTCTTCGAAGCCACCAGGCAGCTTTTGGGATTGGAGATACTGGGGAAGAGGTGTGTGTGTGGGGGGGGGGGGTGTTCACTATTAGAGTGAAGTAATTTAGATTTTTGCCAGCCACAGATAGAACCTTTCCAGGTTGGCCACATGTATTGGGTTGGCCAAAAGTTCATTCAGATTCTTCTAGAAGCTGGTACAGAAACACCTGAAAGAACTTTTTGGCCAGCCCAATAGTATATCTTTGTTGGAGCACTGAAGAATCTCATACTCCCTCATATCGAAAAGAAATAAAGCGTGAGAGTGAGCAGTGGAGGCGTAAGAGAAGGAAAGAAGGAAGCAAGCAAGCCAGCCAGTCCTCTCCTTGGTAAAGATCTAAAACACATCCAAATTTCCTCATGTTTTTGCCAACAAACTCACTTTGCCAGTGCGGAAAGCAGCTCAGCATCTGCAAAGCAGCATTCCTCAGGAAGTGGGGAAGGAGTCTGAGACAATACATCTAGTGTCTTCATTCATCTCCAGGACACAACGAGTCCCTGTATGCCATGCTCCAACTTCTGGAACAAACCACGTCCTGAATCCTCCTTCTAATGCATCCCTCTACAATCCCAGCAACCTAGATGAGCCTTTGGGGAAACCATCAGCCCCAGTGCCTTCCTGTGAAATAAACACCTTGTGAAATATATTTATGCCAGTGTAGGGAGCCAGTGTAGTGGCTAATCCCCTTGTGTTTGGACTTTTTTCCTACGTCGGTTTGGCCCCAGTGCAGACTCAGGTCCATGTCCCCACTTGGCCTGGCCACAGGACCTAGGGATCTTGCTCAAAGTGCAGCCGGACAGCTGGGCCATTTTGCTCAAGCTCTCAAATCTGTTGGCTCTGCTCTGAGCCATACTCCAGCCATCCGAGGTGGGGTCCTCAAAGACTTCTTTTTCCTGTCTATTTCTGCTGTCTGGGAGCCCCCAGAGAAAGCTTCAGGTCCCTCCGAGCTCTGGTTACAGTCAGGAAATCGCCTGGAATACTCCTGCTCCTTTAACATATTCCCACTTGGGCTAGGGTTGATGGGCACTGACTCTCAGAATGTCAGACCTGGAAGGCTTAGAGGTCCTCCAGGCCAATCCACTCATTTCCTCCGTGAGATGATTAAACCCCAATAGAGGAAATGACACTCAAGATTCCATTTTATGATAGCGACCGAGCTAGTGCCAGGCCCACATTTAACAAACCTATCGGAGTGGGCATTAGATCCAGGCTTTCCATTAGCGGAAAGCCCGCTAATGTAGCTAGTACACAGAACTTTCTCGGCCTAAAATCTTCTCTTCATGTTCCACTAAGAGTTGAGCCCTTACCCCATCGCTTACCCCATCTCCTCTTACCCCATCGCTGCAGAGAGACAGACTGCAGCAAATCTAGACTTTATTCTCTTGCCCTCTTTCTCCTTTCCTCTAGAGTTTTATCTTTTTAATTCTATTTGCCTTAGCCTTACAACATCTAACCCCCAGCCTTTACCAGCTCTTCCAAATCTCCACAGAAAGACCTAAATATATTTTTTAGTTCTGCTCTGGAAACACCCCTAGCAGTTCTAGCCCCAGAAACTCAGACAAGGCCACTGTCTCTCTATCTAGGATAGGTGTTCATCCCTAGTGAGGTCCTCTTCAGGCCCAGGAGTTCGTCTCAGAACTGACCAAGAGATTTGAGACCCTGCCCTCCTCCCGCCGCCCCCTCCCTCTCCGGTGCCCACAAGCCCATGCACACAGCAGGGTGTCGCTGAGCCCCCAGTGGGGAGCCGCACTCACCTGGCTCCTCAGGGAGGGTCTCCCCCCTTTCCCTGTGCTCAGGGGGTCCTGGGAGAGCTAGGAGGGGCACATAGGAGGTTAGTAGGATTACGGGGTAGACCCTAAGTCTTCAGGACCGAGGACCAGAGGCAAGACTGGGTTAGAACCAATACACACCCTTCTCCCACAGACACCCCTCTCCCCCCAACTCCCCAGAGACTACCTTAGCCTGTAAATGGGCTGGTCTAGAGAGATAGAAGTTGGCTAGGTTAATAGTAGGGACTCATGGGACTGTCAGCAAGGCCACTCCATTGCACCTTTCTTCAGCTTGCTCTGCCTTTTAAAAGCATCTCTTTCTCCCTCTCAGTTTTCCTCACTGAGTCTCTACATTTACTTATCATCGGTAACTGAGGTCTTGGCTATGAACCAATTGCGAAGTGCTTTGTGAAGTATAAGTAGTAGTATTTTCTCTTTGTCAGCGGCTCTGATTCTTTCTTCCCTTTTACTTTCTCCGTGTCTGGATAACTTTAGCACTTTCTCTCACCAGTAAGCTAGCTTTACAATGTTAAGAATTGTGATGATCTGCTTACTAGATTTCTATAGCACCTTCCCTTCTCTCTCAGGAATTTTACATTAATATTAATACTATGGGGGGAAGGAGACTGCTTTCCAAGAGGTGAAGTTCTTCAGTTGATGAGTGAAGAGATGTTTATTAATCATCTGGCTGTGTGGCAAGCACTGTGCCAGGTGCTGATGGGAAGGGGAAGGAAGCACAGAACAAAGAGACATGCTTATTGCCCTCCTGTGCCCTTTGGAATACACACTAGTTCTTTAAAGGTAGCCTATGTCAATTCCATGAACTTTCTGCCCTGCTTCACCTTCTTTTTTTCTGCGTCACCATTTATGGCTTCGATGGCATCAAATTGCTTACATCACCCTCCTTACTGTTCCCCTGATCCCCTTCCTAGCCACAGTGTTTCTTATTTCCATGTCTTGGCCCCCACGCCTGGAAATGCTCATCTACCCTTTGCCTGGTTAACTGCTACCCTCAAACATCACCTCCTCCATAATGTTAACAGCCCATCCTGTATGATGTGAGCTGTGTGCTGGGCACTGTTTTAAGATCTGCAGGCTCATTCATTCTCATAACCTTATGAGGTAGGTTCTGTTTGTGTCCTCATTTTGCAGGTGAAGAAACTGAGGCACATAGAAGTTGAACACGATGAGAAAAACAACTGTTTTCCTGAAAGAAAACAACAACTTTGTTTCCCTGAGTTGCCACCTGAGTTTTACAGTATGATAACCCTGCTTACAGAGTCTGGACATTTAAGATAAGGACTTGAGTTTAGGATTCCCACCGTTAAGTTCTCACTTTGATTTTCCTGGGGCATCTTTCAAAATAACCACTTAGATGTTAAGCCCACAAATATGTTAGTGTCCTCCACCTCAATCACTTTATAAATAATAGTTGCTTGATACCCTGTCCTCTCCTGCTCACCCATGACCTGGGGCAAAGGACTGACAGCACCTTCTCATTTCTGGGATCTCTAAGTGGCAAATCTTGTGACTCTACTTCCTTTATGAGAATGTATTGAAACTGTATATTCAATCAAAATGACCCAGGGTTTTCACTTCCCCAATCTAGGAGCTCAGATGCTGAAGGAGCTGCCAACCCCATGTGGGCGGCTTATGCCTCCTCATTCAGCTGGTCATGATGTGCATACTCTTAAGACACCAGCTCCATCGTCTCGAAACACAGAGAATAATGCACCCAATGTTACTCAGCTGGTGAGCTGAGGAGCTCAGGTTTGCACTTAGGCAGTCTGACCCCACCAGCTGAGCTTCAATTACAATGCAACACTACCTCCCTATGAAGTTTTCTCTAACTGGCCCAGCCCATGCTGGGTCATTCAGGTTCTTCTACCCCTGTCATAGCCTATGCATTCTCTAACACTGGTCTCATCCTCTCTAATTACTATTTGTACTTTTGTTCTATTTGTACTTCAGTCTTCTCCACAATATTATGGACTCCCTAAGGGCAGAGGCTGAACTTTAACTTGGCATCATCCACAGAGTCTATCACAGTGCTTGACACATAAGCCAATTTGTTCAGGCCTGTTAAATGAATGAACAATAAAATATGGGACTACATCTGAATGCTAAGGATTCTCTAGCCCAAAGATAAGGGTTTTAGCAATGTTTGGGGTTAGGGTCTCGGCTAAGAAGGAACTGATAACAAGAGGGACCGAGAGGAACCACAAACCTGAAATTGGCTTTCTCCTGAGGCGGAGCCAGGCTACTACGGCAGCAACAATAGCCACAGCACCAAAACAAGCGCCTATAGCCACAACTGTCATCGCTGATGAGGGGTCGCTGGAGCTGGACTCTGGGGAAGACAGACCTCAGGACAGGCAGTGCCCTCCCTTTTCCACGTCACCCTCCCTGCCCTCCTCCAATGCAGCACTCGCTTCCTCCCCCAACCTCACCTGCACAGGAGTTCTGTGACCAGGCTTACGCTTCCCCCATACCCTTTTGATTTCTCTGCTAATCAAATGAAGGCACACAGTTGAGTGTATAAGGTGGAGGGAAGGGTTCCTCTTAGCCCTTGGGGATAGCAGGGAGGGTGAACCTGAAGCCTCCAACCCTGGACCCCTAAACTGTTAAGAACACACTATACCTTTGGGAGTGAATGGACATATCATGAAACATGAGAAAAATTTAGGAAAACTTCAGTTCTTAGGAATGTCCAGGAGCTTTGGGAACTTCTATACCAGAAAGCTCTGCTTCACTGCTGTGCTTGGCATGATGGGCTTATATTTCAAAGTAGAATAAGAGCCTCATCACCTGTCACCTGAGACCTGAGGGTTCCAAGCTCTGGACAGCATTTAACAGGTTGCCCATACCCCTGCCCTTTGCCCAAGCCCAGGTTTGGTACTAGGGCATTTCTCAAATCTCCATTTGAGACCATGTGACTTTATTCCTAACTATCCATCTCTTCTCCCATCCTTTCATCTTGAGAGAGTCCCCACCTTGGACAGTGATGTTCACTGGCTGTGACGAGTGTGGCGTCTTCCCAATAAACGCTGTGCAGTGGTACTTGCCACTGTGACTGAAGTTGGCACGTGGGATAGAGAAGTTGGAACGCAGGTAGGAAAATGTCTTGGATTTCCCATCCTGGTAGAACGTGATCTTATTCAGAGGGTGGTTTCTCCAGCTGTGGCACCTCAGCAGAATGGGCTCCCCCTCCTGGAACACGAGGCTGGGGGTCTGGAGCAGCAGCCAGTCTGAAAGACACAAAGGGACCGCAGGACCCAGAAGGTCTTGACTCAGATCTGAGACCCAGACCATCCGGGGGCCAGTATGTGTGGAGGGCAGTTTAAATGTGGAATCACACACCCCTGGTCTCTAATTCTGGCTCCTTCATGTACGCACCCTGTGATCCTGGGTAAACAATGAAGTCTTCTGGGCCTTAGTTTCCTCGTATGCGGAACTAGTCACAATAGTACCATTAGCTGTACTATCTACAGTAGTTGCTGGCACACAGTAGGTGTTCAGATATGCTTGTCTTCTCGTTCCTGTCCTGGGAGATACCAGCTGCAGCCCTGTCTGGCCCAAGAGGCGTCTGCAGGAGGATACAGGGGACCCGGGAGTGAAATCCCTTCCCTAAGGGAAGGAGGGAGGGAGGGAGGGAGGAAAGGGAGAAGCCAGTCTGAGAGAGGACACAGCATGTGAGGGGGACACAGAAGAGACCTGTGTCCTTGGGGAAAGCCATGGGCATCCAACAAATATTAGCTTACTTAATGCTTGTTAGGAAACGTGGAATTTCACTTCAGTGGGGACTTTGCTCAAGCCAGCAGTGACATGGGTGGGCCATTAATTAGCCTGCTGTGTACTTTCCCCCCAGTCATTTTAATCCTTTTGCTGAGGAAATATTTTTAATTTCTTTATAGTTTAAGGAATAGAGGCTTAGGTAGGTACTTATAATCCTGACCTCAGCCCATGCCCTCTGTTTTCCTGAAGCTGTAGGACAGAGAAGAGTTGGAATTGGAAAGGAAGGGTAGAAAACAATGGATACATTGGAAGGGAGAAGGGGAATAAAAAATATATATATATATATCCACACATGTGCCAGTCAACACACTTAGTCCCTTCGGCAGATCAGAAAGATGCCAACCAAGCCTCTACATTGGCTGGTGAGCCTGCCACATATGGGGAAAGAAATGTTCAAAGCAGAGGGAGTGAGTGACAGTGAAGAGAAAACCATGGGCCACAGCTATAGTGAGACAATGCAGAGGGAAGGTGGGGGCACCCGACTTTTGCACCATGTCACACAGGCTAGAAAATCCCATGCCTAATACTGGGGGGCAGTCTTGTGTTCCACCCACTTCCTCCCCAACCACCCTGTGTAGCCCTCTTCTTGAGACACTCAGACCCTAGCTAGGCGTTTCACCCCAGGATTAGTTGAGCAATCCTTGGTCTCTAGTCTGCTTCTTTTATAAAGGTTGGATTAAGCTAGACGGAAATGCTGAGAACTGTAGAGATTTTTTTTAAATGAAGTAGAATCCAGAGAAAATGTCAAAGCTGCTTCCATGTAGTACCTGCAACCAATTACTTCTCCTCCCTGTCTGGGGAATCCCCTCGACAGAAGGTGTACATCCTTAGAGCAGCACTTTCTTCTCAGCAAAGGCCCCACTGGTGCCAGATTTTAACCTGTACAGTGGGAGCCTCAGCCTTAGGGTGGTTTGTATAAGAGGGCCATCTGAGGTCTCCTTGAGGACAATTCTTTGGTGCAGATCCTGAGGGTAGGGCCCAGTTTCATGTTCATGGCACTCATGAGGTGTTCTTTAAGTCATAAAAGGACATTTTCATCAAACTCCTGGGGAAAAAACTCCTCTGCAATCTCCTGGAAGCCTTGTAGAGAAGCAACAAACCTATATACCTCTCCACTCCAAAGGCTAAGATTGCTAGACAGGAACACAGGGCCGATGCCATGAATCCTGGCATAGGCAGAGCCAAATGGAAGTTTCCCAGGTCTCATTCCCCATGCCCAGTTCTCACTGATAAAGGCCCAAGATGTTGGAGAGAGTGCTTTCATCATAACTGAAATTCCCTGAACCCCAGCTAGAGTGCTCTTGACCCCTGCTGCACTCGCCCTGGATGATAGCATGGATGATGTCAGAGGAGCAGAAGCAGGGTCCACACTGGTGAACACAAGATAGTGAGCTTCCTGAAACTCTTTCATTTTTTTCCCTCTTCAGCCAGAACTGGCAGCTACAGTTCACACAGTACCTCTTAGTGCAACTCATGAAGCAGAAAACTCTTGGAGCCATAGAACGCTTCTTCAGGAGTGTACTTCCCACAGTGCTGGAACTTTGGGAGATTTGTCTTCTTTACTGCTGAGTAGATGGGTTGTCCCCTTCCCTGGAGCCACCTGGCTGATTATTATTCAGCCCTGTTGGGAGGCTTATCAAACTCTTTCAGTAGTGGAGAACATTGGGAACATTTCTGCTCAGTCCTGGATACCAAAGCCCTCAGTTATCTGGGTGAGCATCTGGGGCTTCACAGTGCCTTGCTGAGGTTTGAGTCTCCATCTGTCTGGATACCATGGCTAGCACAGAAGGTGGTGCTGATGAGCAGGGTCCTCGGCTGCCAATTCGTTGCTTGGTGAATTAGCATTCCCATTGGTCACTAGTTCAGCTTCTTCTCCAAGACTGCTCTCCTTGTCCATGGTCTTGGGCTCTCTGCTGCCTGAGAACCCTTGGCAGGAGCATTGAACTCAGCATGGAGACATCATCTCCCTCCTCCTTGCACTGGACAGCTGATGTCTGGGGCTGTCCAGTCAGTGCGGAGACTGCACGAGGAGAACGGCGGGGACCTGTATTGTGGTGGCTGAGGGGCAGTGAGGCTCGTGGGTGCTGCCGCTGCTGGGCCAACTGGAGGTGCGTAGCTGGGTGGAGGAGTACTGGGTCTGACGGTGCCGGAGCTGTAGCTAGTGGTCGAGAACAATCTGCGATCGGATAACCACTTGTTTCTTCAAGAGCTGGATCTGTTGCTGTTGCTAAATCAGTGAACGGGGCTTGATGGGAGTGACCGAGTTCATAAGGGTCTGGCTGGGAGCAGGTATGGCTGTCCGTGTCAGGTTCGTGCCCTGCTGACCACTCCCATCTGCTTCTGCCTTCCTGGCCACTGTACTTCCTGCCTCTGGCTAACACTCAAGCTCAGTCACTGCCTGGATGTAGGCAAGGGCTCCACCTCTCCTGTGCCTTCCCTTGTGCAGCTCCTGCCACCACCTATTCCTCATGAAGGCGACTCAACCAAAGGCCCAGGTGCGTGCCCACTTCTTCCTGGACCCAAGAGCCTATGTCCGGCCTCCACCAGCTGGACTAAGGTTAACAAACTGACCTGAAGTTCTAGAGAGAGTCTGAGCCACAGCTATGGCCTGGCAAAAGGCCTGGGGTAGGCCAGAAAAGAGGCATTAAAAAGCAAAAACATCACTTTGCTGTCCAACAGGGTCTGCTTTACCTCGGATTGGTTTCCCAGCTGCGGTCTTGGATACACCTAGGCCTGGGATAGGTAGAGGGAGAAGGATGTCGTGCTCCCCAGTAGCAAAGATTGGGTCAAAGTTGTAACACCGGAAGAGTTCATTCTGGGATTGGCTGGTGAATGGGGAGGCTGATGCCGTGGCCTGACTGACTGGGGCCTGGGTGGTGCTCAGCTGCTGTGTCTTGCTGGCATTTGAGGTACTGGTCTGCTGCCTGGCAGCAGTTGTGGCCAGCTGGACCACAGCCAGGCCATGCAGCTGGGCCTGCTGAGCACAAATTGGTGTAAATACTGAGGCCCACGGAGCTGCCCCAGCAGTGTCTGCAGAGCCTGCCCTGCCTCTTGTTTATAGCGTGCCTTGCCTTCTGTTGGCACTAGTCTCCATGGTAGCGGTCCAAGGTCCCCGGGCTGGTGTTGGGCTCGAGCACTCCATATCTAGCTCTGCACCGAGGTCCCCCAGGGTGGCCCCCCTCATGTGCCAGTTGTTCTGTCATCAGTCACAGTGGTGGGGGGTGTCTCACGGAGTCCTGAGGAGAGGAAGCCCCTCCGCTCCACCCCTTCCTGGAGGGGCAGGGCACTGGGGCTAGGGCCCTGCCAGGCCACTGAGGCTTCCCTCCATGACTGTCCTTTCCTGCTAAGCACAGAGGGTAAGACGGCAGGACTGGGACTGAGGCCCACCTGGCCTATTAGATGCTTGTGAGGAAAATTGGGGTATTCAGTGAGGGAAGGGGACTAAATGAACAGTAACAATGATAGTATTTATCATAATCACATTGCAGCTTTTTTTTTTTTAATGGGGAAACTACTTCTTGCCAAGGGCTTTGGAAAATCATTGATTTGTTCAACAAACATTTATTAAGCCCTGCGCTGTCCCTGTGGCTGGAAATATAAGGAGATTAAGACATGAGTCTCACCTCAGTTGCACAGAGAGAGGGCAGGGATTAGGGAAATGCTGATTCTCACCAGAATCTCGTGTGGGAGGCAGTGGTATCTCCATTAGCAGGTGATGAAACTGAGACTCAAAGGTAAATGAAATCATGTTTACACAGCTAGTAATTCCCAGGGCTAGGATTCAGTTGTGCTGTGTCTGTACATTTGACTGTGCCATAAAAATGGAAAGATTTCTATAAATTAGAGATTTTCTTCTGCTTCTCTCACACCCAGATGCCTGTTGGTGGCCTTGTCACATTCTTGCTCAATCAGCACCAAGATAAAGGAGCCCAACATATTTTGAGAAATCTCTTAGGAACTTCCACCTCACCACTCACGCTAAGCCAAGGAGGTGGGTTGAAAAGGGAAATGGGTGGACCAAAACCACTTCAAACAACTCACAGTCATGCTTTCCAGTAAGTAGGCAACTGCCCTTTCCTAAAAACCTCTGCCATGTAAGCAGAGTCCATCTCCCCTTGTTCTCCCAGACTCTCCAGGGCCTTCCTCCACTGACCAGAAATCACATCCAGATGCACAGGGTCGCTGAGGCTGGTCTGCTCCCTCTGGCACCTGTAGGATCCACTGTCATTGCTGCCGGCCTGAAAGCTGTAGCTGGGCTGGTTCTGGGTGTGGATGGAGCTCCCGTTATGAAACCACATGGTGAGGTTGCCTTCGTAGAAGCTGGTCCCCTGGCACATCAGCGTCACACGATCCTCCCTGAGCACATTGATCCACGCAGGCTGGATGCTCAGCACAGCTTTTGGGAGATCTGCCGAGGGGCAGAGAGAGGAGGCAGCATGAGGAAAAGGGAACCCAAGGGCCTAAGCAGACCCCAAATCTCAGATGATGGAAAACTGTGGCCGTGCTGGGGAGATCAAGAGAACCCAACCCAGAACAGTTCTGCAACTGAAGGCAATTCCTCCAACTCATGTGGCCACACAGGGGCCCCCAGGAACCCAGATTCTCTCAGGGAGCTTGGCTCCTCCACCTCGGAGAAGGTGTGGGGTAGGGAAATGGGAGAGGGGGCAAGCAAACAGTCTAGAAACACAAACACACCTCACCCGAGGAGCTCTCCCCAGTTTCTTCTCTCTGTCTCTATTTCTCTTTCTCTCTCAAACTCACACTCACAGACACGCACACACACACTGCACATGCATCCTTTGGGGAATCACTCCCCACCCTCATACACTGGGGCATTGGGACACTAGTGGATGAACTGTCTTCCCAGCCGGATGAAGACAAGGGGGCCATCTGGTGGAGGTGCCAGGCTGAGAGTCAGAGGTCACGTTTCTCGTCTGACCTGTTTCATTCTTTGTCCTTGAGAGTAGACCTGTCCTGACACCCAAGAACAGAGGAGTCTCTGTGGCCTCAGAAGAATAAGAAAGAGTGAGCCAGGCTGGAAGACCAGTCTAGGGAGCCCTGGATTCAGTGACCCAGGGAGAGCCCCACCCCCTATCAGTCCTGGGTGGTGGAGAGGTTAGTGGTGCTGAGAAAGCAGTGCCCAGCAGTGTTCACCCCACCCAGCTGCAGCCAGTAATACTGCCTCCTCTTTCTGTCCAAGGGAACAGGCTCTGAAGCCTTCAGATACATGAAAAATGGGCAATTTATCAACCCATGGGGATAACCCAAGCAGATCATGTGATTCTGCATGGCCTGGGCTCGTGGTTTATTTTGGAAAGAGGAAGCAATTGAGACAGAGGACAGTTATTTTCTGTGACAGAATCTGTGAGGTCTCGGACAGAAGCACCAGGGCTGAGGCATCTGTGTCCCTTGGCTGCCCACCCCTGGTGGCTTCAGTGGGAGGATGGGAAGCAGGAAGGAGAAGGGTGCAGGGCTTCTTGTGGGTGCAATTCCTCTTTCCTGGCTCTACCTCGGTCCTGGGTTGCTGGTGCATCCAGAGTTCCTCCAGACAGGGTGCAGGGAGCAGAGAGACAGGGTGGCTGGGGGACAGAGGGGATGTGGGGGAGCACTTACCAGGTTTCCCAGCAACAGGAGCTGTGAGAGAGAAAGCAAAGATCAGCCTGGTGTTTGCATATGATGATTCATCATTTCAAATAGTCATCAATCCCAGGTCAGATTCCCTTCACCTGGACAAAGATTTCCCTCTCTGCATTATTCCCTTTCTCTTCTGCATCACCCGTTTCTCCTTCTCAGCTGGGTCTTTCCTACCAACATAAATATGCTCCAGGATGTTTCATTAAAAGGATAAAACTTTCACTTGACCCTCCATAGAATTCCAAAATTGTTTCTCTGCTCCCTTTCCCAGCCTGATTTCTCAGTTCTTTTTCTACATTGGCTATCTTCATTTCTTCTCTTTCCAATCGCTGAACCTCACTAGTCCACTAAAACTTTCCTTGTCAAAATAACCAGTGACCTCAATGACAAATTAAATGGACATGTTCTATTTCTCTCCCAGATTCCCCCCGTATAAGTGTATATCTTGACCATCTACCCAGATATTCATGACAGAAAACTGCAATCTTCTTTTATTCCTCTCCCTCCCAAACCATCTACCTTTGCACCAGTAAATTCTTGTTCATCCTGCTTCCTTCCAATTAGTCCTTAAGTGCATTGACTTTAGTCCACGTCCGTACTACTTTAGGCTACCATCAGCTTTCTTCCGTCTCCTAACTTAGCTTTTCCCTTCTTCTGTTCCCCCTGCAATTCATTCCCCACAGAGAAGCTAGAATCATTTTTAAACTAACAAGTCAGATATCAGCCCCCTGCTTACAAGCCTTCTAGGTTCCTCCTTTGCTCTTAAAGTAAAATGTAAATATTTACAAGGCCACACCTGATACGGTCCTTGCTCACCTCTCCAGCTTCATCTCATGCTCTACTTTGCCGATTCACTGAATTCCAATAATACCAGCCCTCTTTAAATTCTTCAAACTTGGGGCTTTTCTGTATGCTGAACTCTCTGAACCCACTTCCTTTGTATCTTCAAATGGCTTAATTCTTATCTTGCTTCAGGTTCTAGTCTAAAAGTCACTTCCTCAGAAAATTCTTTCCATATCATCCTGTTAACACAGGCTATTCTCTCATCTCCCCCACAACAACTGTTCTTATCAGAGTATCCTGTTTACAGCTTCATAGCCACTTCCCAATTTATATTTATGCATGGTGCTCTTTTATTTATTGTTTGTGTCCCTCAGTAGAATGTAAGCTCAAAGAGGGCAATAGCCATGTTAATTTTATTTACCAATACTCTGAAAATCATTGAGTGTTACCTAGGTGAGAGATAAGGGAACCCAAAGTTGTGATGATGTAGAAAGTGAAGATGAGGACATAGGCATAAGAGGAATTTAATAGGCAGCAAGAAAGTGGCACTGGATGAGGTATGGGGGTTTGTAAATGGGTGACCAGGAAAATAGTTAATTGTGCCCACACAAATAGAAATGTTAGGAGGAGAAGAACATTTGTGAGGGGCAGATGATTGTTGGAGTTTGAATGTGTTTTGTTTCTGAGCTGACAAGTCAATTTGCAGGTTTCCAACCGGGAAAGTGGAAATATAAAATTGTATCTGACACAGCAAGAAAGATAGGTTTGGAAGCTATTGACATAGAAGTTAGCTAAAAACCAGAGTGTGCAGAAGTGACAAGTGACAGTACAGGAAATGAGTAAAGAAGTAGGACTAAGAGGAGGAGAAGAAAAACAAGTAAGAGATGAGAAAAGTAGAGAGAAGTCATCTTCCACTTATTCACTAAGCGAATACTAGTGAATATTAAATATGTTCATGGTCTGTATCGTCACTTTAAGGGAGACAAAAGGCTGTCTCTCCCGTTCACTGATAAATCCCCAGGTCCTAGAACAGAGTCTGCACACAGCATTTATTTCATGTGTAAACAAGGTAGTTTGTGGAATCTTTGGAAAGCAGAGAGTGCTTGTACACACTGCCTGGCTCTAAAGGAAAATCTCCCTGTAAGAGTAGGATTGAGCTTTATTAAGTAGGCAGCGCAGCAGCACTGAAGGCATCCGTGAAGTACAGTGCCTCACCCATAGCTATAGCTGAAGAAGCCCTGGCTTCAGTGTGCAGCGGGGATTCAGAGAAGGGGAGATAGGAGCAGTCAAGACTAGACCAGAATGTGTTGTAAAAAATGAGTTACAGAGCAGTGGAGACCTAAATCCTTGGTGACACCAAAAAGGCAGGTGGACAAAAATGCCAGAAGTCTCTCCCAGGAATCTTGCCTAGGCCTCACATGGATATCACCGTGGCAGGGGCAGGGAAGTCTGCGCCTCTCCAGGCCTGAGCTCCTTGGTGTGAAAAAGTGAGGAAGCTCAGTGTGCTCCTTTTTCATACTAGTCTACTTCATTCCATTTCACCTTGCTCATGGGGGAATACTCTGCCTTCCTCATCTCCACCTCTTGTCCCAGTATCACCCAGCACCAAGGGCCAGGGCTCCCAGCACTGACCAGATTTTACCACCTCTCATAGCATGTAACTTTGGAAATGGCTGGTTGCATGTCTTCCTCTGGGGCCATCCTGAGGTGGACCAGGACTCTTGGCCTCTGGAGGAGAGGAATTCAATCCAGGTCAGTGACGAGGCATGATTGCTCAGAGCTTTTGTGTAATAAAGTTTTATTAAAGTATAAAAGAGATAGAGAAGGCCACTCCTTGGACTGGTCTTTGGACATAGACATCAGAAGGGGGCAGAAAGAGTGCCACCTTGTTAGTTTTGAGCAAGAAGTTATATTCCTATTAGCAGGTTGCTAATTAGAGGAAGGGAATGTCTCAAAACTCAGAGAGTGGTACCAGGCCCCTTATCCACAACATACATTTTGAGGTAACATTGGCACAAGGTGAATCGTCCCAGGCCATAAAACAATCAACATGAATCTTGAAGAAAGGCAGATTTCCAAACAAATACATAGTCTCATTAACATAGCTTAAGAGAACATTTCCATTGGTAAAACATACTGGTCTGTTGAGCTCTTATGGGTTCTGCGTGTTAGGTAAAACCGACTTGAAGAAAGACAGAGTCTAAGGTAAATACATAGTTCATTAACATAGCTCAAGATAAACATTTCCATAAGAACGCATTGGTTAGCTCAAGGTTCGAGAAAAGTTAAGTTTAGGTGGAACCAGGTGTTGTCATAGCAACACAGAATTTTAAGGGAAACTCCTTTTAATTTTGTGTAGAGAAGGGGAATAAAATCTGACACTTGTAGTTTCCTCCTGCTGTTTAAGAGAGAGATAAAAAAAAATGTCTGACACTTGCAGGCTCCATTTGGGGCCCCAGCCTTCCTCCCTGTTATCCTCTCACTTGCAAACCCCCTTAACTCTCTCATGAGTCTCTTGTGGTCCTTTAACATAATGTCTGCATTTCGATCACCTGTGTTGTTCATGCCTTAACTTGTTCAGCTGCATTAACAAAATTACCACAAAGGGGCCAGACTGATATCTTCATAAATTTACTGTCACCGTATTCAGAAAGACACCAAACTGCAATTCTGACACTTGAGTAAATTTGCTCTGATTCTCTTGGTAGTGATACTGATCTTTTCCTCTCTTCATGCTTGCAGTGCAAGGAGGCATTCATGATGTCTCTGGTCCCACAACTGATGATGCTAGAGTTGCCTGGCTAACATATTCTCTGGTCTCCATCCCTGAATAACCCAGACCCTCAGGTGCTTTTCCCTGGGGGACTCTCCTTTCACACAAAGAGAATAGGTCCTGATGCCTAAAGTGGTAGGCACAGAGAATGGCCTCTGCTCCCCAGGGCAATTTTTATTGCTTCCTCACACCTCTTATAGCTTAAGACAGCATCAACCCTCTTGCCTAAGATTTGGTGCCAGTGAAACACACATTTCTAAGGAAGGTAAACACCTTGGCCATTATTAGTCCTTCAAGTCTAGGTCACTGGACATTCCTCAGAGCTGGCTCAGCTGTGGGAGGTGGCAGATTACCAGGGACCTTGGTGCCCAGTGTTATTGGGCAAAATGTTTTCAAAAACCCTACTTTCGCCAATTTCATAATTTCCCAAGGCCAGCAAGGTTGTCAGAATGTGATTTTCATCAGCCTGCCTTCACCCTCCTGACTTTCCTGATGTGCTTCCCACTGCAGCCCTCATCCTCACCTCTGGTGGTAGAGAGGTTAGTGGTGCGGAGAAAGCAGTGCCCAGCAGTGTTCACCCCACCTAGCTGCAACCAGTGATCCTGCCTATTTCTGCAACAACCCAGGTGGCGGCAGCTGACTTAGAAAAGCAGACCTGCCCATGGTCCTGCTCTGCTGTCCCCGCTGGGACCCCGACTCACCCAGGAAGAGCAGAGCTGTCCACAGTAGCATGTGGCCCCAAGGATGCCAGGGCGTGCAGTGAGCTCGGTTCCTCCTGGCAGCAAGGAAGGCTAGGAATGAGGGGATCCCCATCACCTCCTAGAGCGAGCAGGTCACTCTGACAGCCCAGCATGGCAGACACTGGCTTCTCTTGAGGCTTGATAGATTCCACCCAGAGGGCAAATTCTGGAGTCCAAAAGAGGAAGTGAAAAGAAGTGTTGTTTTATCATTGGCTCCTCCCCTTCCACCCTCTTTCATCTAGAGAGTTCCCTCCCAGAAGACTCAGGGCTTCCCAGAATGAATCTGGCTCAGTCCCACTCCAAATTCACAGAAAATGTAGGAACTGGGGAAACAAGTTCTCCTCGTCCTCTGGAGCCACAGCTGGGCTCAGCGCCAGGAAGGAAGAGGGGAATGGTCACCCCTACTCAGCTCAGAACTCCCTGCCTGTCTCTGTCTCTTTGGAAAAGGCGATGGACGAGAGTGTGCCAGGGCACTACCCGTACTTCTAGATCCATTTAGAGGTGCAGACACTGGCATCAGACTCCTCCTGAGACTGAGCAGAGGGGCTTGAGGCCACCTTCCCCATCATTTGATTGCCTTCATTATCATAATCCAGACTCCGTTTTGGATTGTGGAACAAGGACAGAGTGTCAGGTTGTTAGGGTGGCAATAGAATGATCATTCCCATCCACTATCACCCCTTGTCTTTCTTGTGCTCATTCCTCCAACAAATATCTTCTGAGCAGCAGCTAGTGCCCTGGTTCTTTATCTTTCTCACCCTCATTCCCATCACTGTTCCCATCTTAGTTGTGGTATGTGGGATCTAGTTCCCTGACCATGGATGGAATGCTAGGGCCCCTGCATTGAGTGTGGAGTCTTAGCCACTAGACCACAAGGGAAGTCCCTGTCATTCATTCTTGTACTCATCCCTCCAACAAATATCTTTTGAGGAGCAACTAGTGGCCTGGTTCTTCTCACCCTCATTCCCATCACTGTTCCCGTCACCATGGCATGGTGAAAGAGCGCAGGGCTTTGGAGCCATATTGGTCTAATTTTGAATGACAGATGGCTTCTCAGAACTACAGATTCCTCATCTGTATAAATGGAGATTAATATGTCTATCCTTCAAGCAGAATTTCTCAGCCTCAGTGTTATTGACATTTGGGGCCAAATAATTCTCGATGTTAGGACCTGTCTCATACATTGTAGTGTTTAGCAGTATCCCTGATCTCTCCCCACTAGATGCCAGGGGCAACCCCTAATTGTGAAAATGTCTCTAGACATTGGCAAATCTCCTCTTGGGGGCAACCTTGTTGCTGACTAAGAATCACAGTGGTCACAGTTTTTGAAAATTAAAAGAGACTTTGTGTGCTAGCACAGGCCCTGGTGCATTGTGCGTATCCAGTCAATGCTAGTTCCCCTTTTCTGCTTGCTGTCATCATCCTCATCACCATTTGTTCACCCTCAACATCCCCAGAACATGAGATGCTCTGGGATCTCTCTCAGGACCCTCTGCTGGGGCCTCTCTCCCAAATGCTGTCTCAGAAAACAAGCTGTAATATTCAAGGAAATGATATTGTAAAATCTGTTCTTACACTCTCTAGTCTTCAGAAGCCTCAGCAGCAACCCCCCTCCCCCCACCCTGCGTTGGACAAGGCTTTACTACTGGCCCCATTCTACCCCGTGTCCCACTCCCAATCTACCTCCAGCCTTTGTCTGATTTTTAGGTGAAAAAGTTTCTTTAACCAATGCCAAGACTCCAGTGAGCTGTTATCAACACTTTAAAAGTTAATTTATATAATGTGACCCACACATTGGAGCCATCCCAACAGAGCAGCCCACATCATACATCTAAGCTTAGGTAAGCCTGCACTTACAGGAAACACCTGTCCAGGAACTTAACATACACCAATCACTGTCTTCCGACTCAGCTTTAGCTACTTTACCTTACTCTAAAAGTCAGGATCTTCTAGCCTTGTAAATAAACTCCCAACTTCCTAGCCAATGAGGCCCTGTTTCCACATGGCCTCTTGTAAAGCTCTGTAAAACTTGACCTTGCCCAAATCCCTTGGGAAGAGTTCTGCTTATGAGGAACTGTACTACCTCAATCCATGGCTTGCTTTCCCTTGAATAAAGGATATCAATCTTGTAACTAAATCACTTTAGCTTTGTCATTGGACAGGTAGGGTATATCTCATTTTATTGTGCTAACTTTATTGAGCTTTGCAAATTCATTTTTCACAAATTGAAGACTTGTGGCAACCTTCGCTGAATAAGTCTATTAGTACCGTTCTTTTTTTCAACTGCATTTGGCATACTTGGTGTTCCTGTGTCATATTTTCATAATTCTCACAATAGTTCAAACCTTTTCATTATTATCATGGGTTATGGTGATCTGTGATCAGTGATCTTTGATGTTCCTATTGAAACTGTTTTGGAACTTTTAGCAATAGGGTCATAAATGAAGGTGTGTACATTGTTTTATAGACATGATGCTATTGCACACTTTATAGACTGTGGTATAACGTAAACATAACTTTCATATGCACTGGGAAACCAAAAAAATTGTGTGACTCATTCAGTTGCAATATTGGCTCTACTGCAGGGGTTTGGAACCAAACGCGCTATCTCTGAGGTATAACCAGTAATGTCAATGAAGTGTAGTATAAGCACAGCTACTGAGGTTCTGGGGTTGGCTCTGAGATGAAAGTGAAGGTTCCTGCAGAGCCACTTTACTTTGCTGCCTCTTCAACTGCTCTTCAGCATCTCCGGTAAATTTCTCTTAAATCGAGCTCCACCTATTTGCCATTTGGAGATCAAGTTTGTTTGTTCTAACCCTTTTAGGTGGAAATTTGGGGTGTGAGCAACTCCAGATATTTCGTGGTGAGACCTAGTAGGCCACAACATTTGAGTTTATGCCCAATCTCAGCTACAATGTAAGCATCTACAGGAAGGACAAAAAGATCTCAGGAACATGCCCTGGCAGTCAGAAACAGTAAGTCTGGTTGAACTAAGGAGGATCATTTAAACAAAGGGAAATAATAAGAGCCCCTTATGCAAAAGACTGGAAAAGGGAATGGCAACCCACTCCAGTATTCTTGCCTAAGAAATCCCATAGACAGAGAGTCTTGGCAGGCTACAGTGCATCGGGTTGCAAAGAGTCAGACATGATTGATTGACTAACACACACACACACAATACAAAAGAAAGATGATGGTAGCCATCAGGAAACTCAGAAAGTTTGTGGTGAGCCCACAGAACAAACTTCTGAGGGACTTGGGGAATGGAATTAAGACTATAAATTTGGACTATTTTGACCGAAAGCACATCAAAATCTAAGTAGGCACAAGACAAACTCTTGAAAGCCATCAGAGCATCTGCCACTATAAAGACATATGGGAATCTTAGAAACCAAAGCAGCAAAATTTGTGGCCACAGACTACACATTTAAAAAGCTGTTAGAGTGATTACCACCTCTGTCTCAGACTCCTGGACTAGGATAAGTTGGTCAAGGAATGGGTTGGACTGACAGTACATCATGTACCAACCTCACAAAATTTCCTAATAACCAGATACACTGTTGAATACCATATAATCCCCAACCTGGAGGCACATCCCTATTAGGCATTAACTTGGCTCTGAGGAAGGCTTTCTTATCTCTCCTTGCTATTCTTTAGAACTCTGCATTCAGATGGATATATCTTTCCTTTTCTCCTTTGCCTTTCGCTTCTCTTCTTTTCACAGCTATTTGTAAGGCCTCTTCAGACAACCATTTTGCCTTTTTGCATTTCTTTTTCTTGGAGATGGTCTTGATCACTGCCTCCTGTACAATGTCACAAATCTCCATCCATAGTTCTTCAGGCACTCTATAAGATCTAATCCCTTGAATCTATTTGTCACTTCCACTGTATAATCGTTAAGGGATCTGATTTAGGTCACACCTCAATGGTCTTGTGGTTTTCCCTACTTTCTTCAATTTAAGTCTGAATTTTGCAATAAGGAGTTCATGATCTGAGTCTCAGTCAGCTCCCAGTCTTGTTTTTGCTGACTGTATAGAGCTTCTCCATCTTTGGCTGCAAAGAATATAATCAATCTGATTTCGGTGTTGACCATCTGGTGATGTCCATGTGTAGAGTCTTCTCTTGTGTTGTTGGAAGAGGGTGTTTGCTATGACCAGTGCGTTCTCTTGGCAAAACTCTATTAGCCTTTGCCCTGCTTCATTCTGTACTCCAAGGCCAAATTTGCCTGTTACTCCAGGTGTTTCTTGACTTCCTACTTTTGCATTCCAGTCCCCTATAATGAAAAGGACATCTTTTTTGGGTGTTAGTTCTAAAAGGTCTTGTAGGTCTTCATAGAACCGTTCAACTTCAGCTTCTTCAGCATTACTGGTAGGGGCATAGGCTTGGATTACCGTGATATTGAATGGTTTGCCTTGGAAACGAACAGAGATCATTCTGTCATTTTTGAGATTGCATCCAAGTACTGCATTTCGGACTCTTTTGTTGACTATGATGGCTACTCCATTTCTTCTAAGGGATTCCTGCCCACAGTAGTAGATATAATGGTCATCTGAGTTAAATTCACCCATTCCAGTCCATTTTAGTTTGCTGATTCCTAGAATGTCGACATTCACTCTTGCCATCTCCTATTTGACCACTTCCAATTTGCCTTGATTCATGTACCTAAAATTCCAGGTTCCGATGCAATATTGCTCTTAAGTGTCTCCATTAGTTGGAAAAGCATAGCTGCCTGTTTGTAATTCATTGTGAAAGGGAGTAGAGTATGTCATCCCAAAATATGCTTCTTTGGCATAAGAGTTGTCTTGACCTGGTTATATTTAAGAAACAGCAGACACTGGGAGAGTTCTGAAAACTGAGAAGCTATTCTTTGTAAGGGAAATCTACATCTATAAGGGAGAAATATCAGTAACCTGAGATATGCAGATGATACCACCCTTATGGCAGAAAGTGAAGAAGAACTAAAGAGCCACCTGATGAAAGTGAAAGAAGAAAGTGACACGACTGAGTGACTGAACTGAACTGAAGGGAAATTTCCACTTATAAGTGTCAATGTATACCAGGAACAGAAGATGATTCTAAGCACAAGAAACTCTTATCAATGGAGAAGGCACAGACTTAAATCTACATAACAATCTTATTCTTTACTGTACTTTTCTTGATAATCTTCCCAGACTGGCTCCTCAAATTCTGGGAGTGGCTAAGATTCCCTGCTCCCAATGCAGGGGACCCAGGTCAATCCCTGGTCAGGGAACTAGATCCCATGAGCTGCAACTAAGACTTGGTGTGGCCAATAAATATTTAAAAAATTTTTTAAAATAAAATGGATAGCTTCATTTAAAATGTATATATCTTGAAATAGGAAAGGTATGAATAATTGAAAAATCAGAAAAGCCCAGTGATCAAAAGCATGGACTTTGTAGACAGGCAGACACAGATCAAAAGCCTCATCCCTTACCAACTGTGTAATCTTAGATATGTTAATCTTCCTTTCTAAGCTCCATTGCCTCATCTGTAAAATGCACATTACTTCTTACCTTAGGATGTTGTAAAGATTAAATGAGACAATCCATAAATCATGCTGCTAATAAATAAAATTCAACTGACTAAAATTTAAATATCTTATTGGCTTTATTCAATAATTCATGAATCAAGTAGCATGTAATCTAGCAGATAGGAAAGA